ATCTTAAAGCAGAAACAAATATCAAAACTGGATTTGCCTAATCTATAAGGACTAAAAGCTCCCTAATACTACAAATCTTAAATTATATATTAGAAGTTTTATCTAAAGGATCTCTAACCTTCTAAGAATACTCTTATCCCTTTAAGGACTGCCTATTTCCTCGTTAGTGTTGACCTTGTCGTTATCCTAACGATCTAATAGCCTACTCTAGGAAGAGTAACGATCTAATAGCCTACTCTAAGAAGAGCTAGACGGGACTAGTATAGCCGATCTAGAAGAAAGCCGAGAGTATAGATTCCGACTACGACTAGCTATCGTAGCAGTAGTATAGACCCCTGCCTACTAAGCTAACGCGTTCGCAATCGCCTAAGCGCCTTCCGGAGTGTTCTAGTTAATCCTAGAAGGAATCGGGATATATAGGCGACGCTAATCGCTGCCTACTATACTACCTAGATTACGAGGCGGCAGCCTAATAGGACCCGGAAGATTTACCTAGCGATTAGTACTCGAACGAGGGCGCGATATATAGCCTATAACCTAGTTAGTTTCTAATTGAAATCTCGAGTTAAACCTAGCTTACTCGACTTGTTATAATAACTATAATAGTTCGGGCTAGTACAATTAGTATAGGCACCCTTAAGAAACTTACTCCTATTAATAGTTAGAGTAATATACTCCTTATATATACCCTTACCCTCCTAATAGGGCTTATACCTATTATTCCCCTAATAGATAGTGCGACTAGAAGTAGTATATATAAGTACAGCTAGAAGATAGTTAACGTTAGATCTAGAGGCTAGGTTAAACTTCTTATCCGCCCTATATATTATAGCTACGATAGCTAGGTATAAGGGAGTATTACTACCCTTTTACTTAAAGATACGCACGAAGATAACAATATCGCTATTACGTAGCTAGGGAGGCATCTCGTTAAACTTCGAATTAGCTAGAGCGATTAGGATCTTCTATAGGATCGCGACGGTAATCTTAATCTCCTTTAAAACTACTCTCTATTAGTATAGGAAGGCGCATCTAATTAATAAAGCCTTACTATTGTCGATTAACTACTACTTATTATAGCGACTAGGCAGCTTCTTATTTAGATCGTCTCCTCCGCCGCCGCTACTACTACTACCTATACTAGTAGCTAGGCTACCTAGACTAGACTAAGTTGCCGTAGCTATAATAGTAACTCTAGTTAAAATTAGGTTATATTAAACTATATTAAAAAATTTCGGTTATATATTAGTTAGTAGAAAGAAGAAGTTTAAGTTTAAATAGAAAGCGTACCTCTTAAATATAGACTGCTAGGCTTACTATATAGATAGGGTCTAAGTAGCAAACGCGTAGCAAGTACGACTTTACTTTTACTTTAGTATATATAAAAGAACTAGACTAATTAGCGAACTAGGAGAAGCAACCCTATATTACTTAGAATATAATATATAGGTTACCTGCATCTAATTAATTATAAGGTAGCTATACTTTATCTAACAATGCCTATAATAGCCGAGAAAGGAAAAGTAAGGGAAAATAGCCTTTTATTCTAACAGATTCTGCTAGAGGGGGAGTATTATAGATTAGTTAGTACTGCTAAGTGCTAAGGCCTAATTTCCTAGCGATATATATAGCCTCTAGCTTAGATAGAAACTTAATTCCTTTCTTTATACAATTCTATAGTTAATTAATTAATAACTTATTCTACTTAGCTTAATTATAATAGAAGAGACAGGGACGGTAATGCTCCCTATGTATCCTATAGGTTATAATCGACATCCTAAAGCCGCGATTAGACGTCTAAGCCGTCGTGCCTAAGCCCTTTTTCTATATCGAGACTAGGGGTGCTAGGTTGTTAATTGTTAGCAACGTTACTAACGTTGCTAACTATGTTAATAACGTTGCTCTTGTCTACTAAGTTGTTAGTAATATAAGGCTAACTAGGGCTAACTAGAGGTAGAAGGTAATGCTATATTAAAGGCAATATAGCTATAGAATAAGACTACTTCTTGCTATAGATTGAGACTGCTGTATAGACTACTTCTTGCTATAGAATAGGCTACTTCTTAAGCTTAATAATGCGGCCGTTGTTAGAGCGCTTGTCGTCTAAGCGCTTCCGTACTAGTATAGTTACTATATGTCTCTAGCTATTGCTAGCCGTTGTTAGTATTGTTGTTTTATAAGAGCGACTAACTGAATAGCGTATAGCTAACTAGAGGGTCGTATTTGGAAGAAGCCTAGCTATTAACTAGCTTAAAGAATAGTAAGCACTATAGTAGTTAACTACTCGTTGTCGCCTCGAAGAGCGCTTTATAATTAATAGGCTCGTCTTCGAAGTCGTTATCTTCTTAGTAGTAAGATAGACTATATAGATTAAACAGCTATTTAAGGTTAGGTATATAGAGATAGCGAGGGTCGCTTAGTAGTAAGTAGTAGTTATTTATTATAGCTTCTTCGAAGGCAAGTAATGCGTCTAATTCCGCCTTCCTAATCTCTTTCTTAGTTGCTAACTATCGCTACTATATCTCTCGTAACTTAGCTTGTCGTTACTGTCTTACTACCTCTTCTACTAGTCGCCTACGTAAGGCGCGGCTATTTATATAGATATAGGTATAGTCGTCGGTACGCGTAGCAGATAGCTTCGAGCGATAGTCGTTCTATATAAAATTTATAGCGCTAAAGGCTCGCTCGGAAGGTACTAAGTTAGTAGATATTCTATATAGGCGGAGGGCGACTTCTACTATAAGAGGCGCTTTACAAGTAAGGAAGTCCTAATAAGCAGTAATATTGCCGCGCTCTCGGTGCCGACTAAGCTCGTAGTAGTTGCTAATAGCGAAGAAGCGTTGCGTAGAGTCTCGGAATTCGATAAATTCGTCGTTAAATCGTAGATAGCGCTCGAATATAGAAGGATCGTTGTCTTCGTAGGTAAAATAGCGCTTAAAGAAGGCAATGCGGTATTCTTCTTCGCGGTTACTAAATTCTCGAGAAACTAATAGATTATTAATATATAACGAGTACGCTACCTAGTAGACGGGTTGTGTTTGCTTAATAAACTAGAGGTTAAAGAGCGACAATAGGTCCTTCTAGTAAGGCAGGCGCGCCTACTTAATCGAGCGACGTAGTTACCGCTAGCGAGGCACTATATCGCTAACCTTAGAGGTATCGCTCTTACTAACTAGCCGTACTTCGTTAATTAGCTAAAGGAGTATATAAAGGCTCTATAGGCGGCTCTAGAATAGAGGCGAGTTAATAGTCTTAAGGGTAGTAGAGGCGCCCTTTGCGAGGCGACTATTCGAGCTTCGGAATAGCCTATAAGCTATAACCCTCGAGTAGTCTTAAAGGGTTGTTATTGCTATAAATAGGCTATATATTATAGTATAGTATAACCCCTAGCGAGTAAGACAGGCGATAGCAAATGCCCTTAAAATAGCCTCGTTGTCCTTAGTAAAGGCCTTTAGGATATTCTAAGCCTTCTTCGACCTCTTAAATAAGGCAAGTATATATAAAGCCTCTCGGAGCGTATCGCTATAAAACGGTAGGTGCGAGTCCTTCTAATAGTTACCCTAGTCGCTAATATATAGCTATATACTATACGAGTCGTAAAAGACGCAAATTATATGCTTAGTAAGTAGATTCTCGGCGAGTCGGTCCTAGAGTAATCTTATTGTCGCGTAGGTATCGGTTTATAGGCTATTCTATCGTTTAAGGTTACTATTAACAAAGGGCGCTACCTGCTTAGTTACCTACCGCGCGAGGGTAATAGCGTTAGCGTTAGAGTCCTTTATATCTAGCAGGTTACAGAAGAACGAGCTAGATACTATATTAGCTAACAGGTTACAGAAACGAGTACTACCGCGGCTCTTACTCTTATTAGCGCTAAAGTTAAGGTCTCGAAGCGCATTAAATACCGCCTTAACGTCCTTCTCGACCTCCGCTCGTACTATATCGATACAATCTACTACCTTATCGCGACTTAGAGGGTTATAATTAGTATCGAAGGTATAGAAGGCCTCGCGCTATTTAGGATAGAATCTCGCGTCTACGAGATTAAATAGCCTTCTACTATATAATATCGCCCTCGTAATAGCTAAATTACGTACCTTCTTAGACTTAGCGACACTAAATAGCAGCGTGCGTTGCTTGCGCGGCGGCGCCTCTTTATCGTTAGAATAGTAAGCCCTCTTATAGTCTAAATACTTCTAACATTTCGCTAGGTGCGCCTTCTTCCGTAATAGGCTTCTCTCTACTATCGTTCCTTTCCCGCTATCGTACTAGATATACCTTACAAATTTGCTTATATTAGCGGTATCGACTTAGGAGAAGTTAAGGTTAACTAGGTCTTTTAAACGAGGCATTTTAAAAAAGTCGGAATTATAAGATTCGTAGAATTGCTAGAAATGCGAAAATCGGAGGATTAGGTAGTCGAAATAGGTAGAAAAATAGTAGGCAATTCTCTCTTAACAATACCTCTCGAACTATCTAGTTTTAGGCTATTCGGACAATATTAGTAAACCTACTATTCTACTAACCCTAGTAGTATAGTTGCTAGGTAACCCTCTACTAAGCAGTCGCCTAAGCAACTACTACTCGGAAGAGCTATATAAGCAATCTCTGTACTAATCTATACTAAATTGAGCTTAGCTAAGTCGGAAGAGACGGATCTATAAAGGATATTAGTACCGAGATAGTTACGAAGGCACTATGCTATTACTATAGGCTTAGTCTATTCTATACTATAAAGAGGTGAGGTCTATATAGACACCTAAGGCATAAAGATTGATACTAACTGGTTATTAACGTTGTTTTGTTACTAACGTTGCTTTCCACCGACAAGTGGTTACTAACAGCACCCCTAATCGAGACACTGCACCTGCACCCCACCACAGTCAGCCATACCAGCCATTGGAAGTGGAGCTTCTCTACCATGACCTTTTGGAGTATTTATTCCTTGAAGCCTGTGCGACCAGACACTGTCCGTCTACTCTCTCCCTAATTCCCACACCATGAAGCTTGCAATCCACCTAGCCTGCTTCGGCCGTCTGGTCGTGCCATCGACAGCATGGTATCTCCAAGTTCATAACCAGATTGGCTACGTAGTAGACCAACTCTTGAATCAAAACACAAAATACATGCTGTCCCAGATTCTGGAACCGGAATATAAGGGCTCAGTGGGACGTTCTGCGGCTTGGGCAGATACAGTCAGTCGAACCACCGCGCCATATTCATACAACTGGCACTGGATCAGCGCCCGAGACAATCCACCCGACGATTGCGGTCTCTTCTACCACCGCGACTGCCAGCAAGGAGGTTGTGTTGTCTCGCAAATCTTCAACCAAACCAGCATTCTGCGGCCATGCATTGCGGATCTGGCCAAGGGACACTATAAGCCAGATCAGACCTGTGCTCAGGCTCTGAAGTGGACCATACATTTCATCATGGATGTCTGCGAGCCCATGCACACGTCTATGAGGGCTTTGGGAGGAAACAGATTCCCGGTGACGTTCAATGGAACAGAGACCAACATGCACCAGACCTGGGTAAGTCTAACTTGAAATTGGAAGCTTGCCTCTAGGGTGCTGAACAGCTCTCCAGGACCGCTGGATCCTCTATGCAGGCACTGATCGTCCCAATGGTTTCGCGGACGACAAGATCGACCCATATTTCCAAGGCCTGTATGAGCGCATTCGCCGCGAGCAGAACGGCAAGGTCGGCTTCCGAGAGCCTATTGATGATTGGGCAATTTGCAACTGGGACATCGAGCGCGGGACCTACTGTCCGGAGAAATGGGCGCAAAGCAGCAATGCTATTGTATGCGATTATGCATATGGCAGATACGTCAACGGCAGCGATGTTTACAAAGACGGGTATGCCGAGGGCGCTTTCCACATTATTGAGCTGCAGCTTGCGAAGGGTAAGAGAAGATCGACGTGAAAGACAACTAACATCTTGGATGCACCTGCTGACATTTGACATAGCCGCTTGGCGTTTGGGAGGATGGCTGAATTCGCTGGCCAGCATGTATCTCAGCAAGAATCTGGCGGAAATTGATGGCGAGCAGAATCCTATGAGAGGTGTTGGTCATATCTTGGAATCAGATGTTTACAGCGGCAGCCAGCAGAATCCGTTACACAGGGACTTGTAGATTGGCCAAGAAAGTGGTCAGGGTGCTGTGAGTGAGCACATGGCTTCGTAGAATCTTGCTCATGAAAGCACGACGAATGATCAGGACTAGACAGGGCCAGTGGTTGAAGGCATTTGACGACCGCACTGAAGTGACACTGAGACCGGGTGTATGCATAAGAAATGATAGATGAAGCACGGAAGCCGCGTTGAGCATTCGGTTCCGTTGTCTAAAGCGTTGTGGTGGGCACTCAATGGACAAGACAGGTATCACTGCAGGCGCATAGCTGCGTTGCAGGCACACGGCTTCAGCATTCGGTGAGGGCAATGAAGGAGATTGCTCTTTTCTTTCTCAACGCACGCGTGCATGCTAGAGTGCCTCCGTTGAGAGTCACGCTGTTTCGCTTTGAGATTATGCAGCCCGGACAGGCAGCGTACATTATTACACCCAAGTAACGGGGCGCGGGTGAAAATTGGTCCTGGAAACTGCCGTCTCTGCATACCTAGTGACATGCATTTTGTGATAGATTCGATTATTGCAGCCGCCTTGCCTTGGCTGCAAACATCAAGCGCCCCGAAGCCATCTCAGACTCAGTTCCTCCCACAGAGGTCATAGAAATTGCTCGAGATGTGTTCAAGGGGCGAATGGAATGCGCAGCGTAAGATTGGTTAAGTGTCTCACTGCGACCAGCGGTTGACGACAGATATAGAGCCGACGAGACCGAATGAGTTCAGGCAGTAGTGCACAACATGGGTCTGAATCGTGCTCCCAGACGAGCGAACGATGCGTCTCCATGATCACTTCTACCCGAACGCTCTCATACCCCGAGGATGCATGCCACAGGCTTACGGTGGACCACTACGTGTGCCGGTCGATCTGATGAACATCAACGACTTGTTCACCATCACGTTAGGGATAGGGCTAGAGGAAAGATTTTGGCAAGGAGTGCACGCACAGGCGGAGTGTCTGGGTATTACGTATTACGCAACTCTTGGTCATATTCTTCGCTCCTCTTCCGGAGTCAGTAAGAGCTTCTTCACCATGTTGACAATGGCGGCCATTTGCACTCCGCCTTTTTGATCTGCGTTCTCCCCAACCCAGCCAACGCAATCAAAGCAAGCAAGTGCTCCTCCAGGATATTCAGTCCCGTTCCAAATCTTCCGAAGAGTGTTGTCGACCGTAGCTTGAGGGAACAGGACAACGATGTTTCTGATAGCACGTGTTGGAGGAACATCGTTACAGAGGTTCTCGGCGTACGAGCTATTCTACAACAGCTCGCTTGCGCTTGATTGAACGGTGGCTGCTCTCCACGCAGCCAATTTGCAGATGATATCGCCACTGCTCGCCAGTGCTGGGTTGCTCTCAGACGTTCTATGCACTTCCCATGGAGACCTGAGTCTCCTGAAGTATATGACTAATCGGACCATTACCGTAAGCATGACGCACATGCGGTCTCTTGGCATGGGCTTGAGGTGAATGAATTTACGCCCATGCTCGATTGAGATACTCTTGTTTTCCCATTGCGTGCGTTCCCGCTTGGATCTATTGTGAACTTCAAGTCTTCCATAAGAACGTTCAAGGCCGTAGGTGACCTTGCAAGCCTCTTCGTTGCTGACGTCAAGGTACTGTAAAGATCGGGTTGTGGAGAGGCCAAGTCGAAGGAGCGACTCTGGATGAAGAAAGCTCGTTCCTCCGCCAATCGACCTGCACCTGGCAAACAACCAGCTCAGCTGCGGCGGCTATTGCCTGACCTTGTCATGGGCGCCTGGATGTCAGTCAGTATCGTCACAACACGCCGGCACTGGCATTTCGACAGCAGAAGAGGCACACGATGAGCTTCGAAGACTGACCCATTCGTTCATTCCTGAGCCACGATAGCGATCGACCCTACCACAATGGCATTGATCAGGATTCTCGCGACTTTGCTCCTACCCACGATAGCAACCTGCCAGACCTCCACGACACTGGTAACTGCGACTACGACAGTCACTGCGACGGAAAGTGGTGCATGCAATGATTTTGTCGGCGCATGCGTTGTCTACGGCGCCGAAGGGGCAGCGCCATATACCACCACGGTCTACGCTGGAAACAGCGAGACTTCCAGAACGACAGTCACCCCCACCACAACCGTCTCAATAGGCGCGGCAGATACCACAGCCGATGCAGCAAGCGCATGTCGGGATTTTGTAGGAGCTTGCGTAGTCTATGGATCAGCTGCGGCAGGAGCAAGTTACACAACGACAGTATACAATGGAAACAGCCTACAAACGACACTAGGGAACAGCGGAGGATACATTGGCCCTGGAGGATCTAGCGATGGGTACATCGGAGAGGCTAGCAGTCTGAACATGCGAATTGTCATACCCTTGATCAGCCTCGCGGTGGTCAATGTAGGATTCTTTGTCTGGATGTAAAGAGCTAGCACATGCTCATGAGGAATGACGGCATGGGGAACGATACGATACGATGCGATGCGATACGATACGATACCTACCACCTAATGTCTACGAGCGCATAATTGATGGCACAGGTCATTTCAAACTCATTTGGACTCGCGGAAGAGTCAGGCATCCATGATCCTGGCAAAGTCTATCATCACTTCATCAAAATTACGACTAACTAATACCTGTACATTCTGTCTCCGCCATTTCGTTTTATGCTCCTGTTGAGCATGCGATAGTACAGCACGAGACCCACACATCCTACAGCCACGAAGAAAAGCAAAGCTGCATTCGTCCAGTGCCCGGTCGGATACCCTCGCGTCTTTTCGTCCGCCTTGTAGATCCAGACGCCAACAATTTGTCCCGGAGCTCCAAACGAGATATTGATTGCTATCGCGAGCCCAACGGAAGCAGTGCTGAATAAATTCGAGCTTAGCCAGCCAAGAAGTGGCGGGATGCAGCTGAACGCGCCAGAAGCTGCTACAATCAAGCAGCCATATCTTGACGCATAATCATGTGGAGGCAGTACAGCAGATGCGAGGAAGCCTATTGCGCCGATTGTAGCGAAGATGGCACTGTGAAGTCCGCGAGCATTGAAGTGATCAGCGCTCCAGGATACGAGCACTGTGACTACATAAGCCACGGCATACGGAGGAACTGCAGCAGAGTCAGCCAAGACCTAATCAATCAGTGCCATATCCTTACCTGTCATGAGCTGTGCTCGGAGCCCATCGTACCCAAGCCCGGCAGTAATCGTTGGCGTGAAGAGCGACAGGCTAGAGAATGGAGTCGAAATGCCGAAGTACACCACATAGTGCGCATACAGCCTCCAGTCCATCAACGTCTCCTTCGCGTCCTTCCACTTCATATGCTCACTGTGACCATGCGAACCTTCAAGCCTCAAGCGATCAGCCGCAAGCGCCTTCTCATCAGCATCAAGCCACTTCGCAGTCTCAGGATAATCCGGCAAGAAGAAAAACACAAGCACCGAGGACAATACAGACGGAATACCTTCCAGAATGAAAAGCCACCTCCAAGCCGAAAGCCCGCTGACTCGATTCATATGTCCAACCCCATAAGCTATTGCCCCTCCAAACGCACCCGCCAGAGTCGCAGATGCTAGGATCAATGCCACCCGGATCGAGCGCTCCTCAGTCCGGTACCAGAACGTGAGATAATACACCAGTCCGGGAAAAAGTCCTGCTTCGAAGACCCCCAAGAGGAATCGTACTGCGGTCACACTACCGAAGTTCTGCGTACCGCCTAGACCCATGGTGATTGCTCCCCATGATAGCATGAGAAATGCGATCCAGCGACTGGGACGCATGCGCTTGAGCATGTAGTTCGAGGGAACTTCGAAGAGTGCGTAGGCGATGAGGAAGACCATGAGTGCGATTGTGTATTGCATGTTGGTCATGTTGGTTTCGTGGAGGAGCTGGGATGTATGAGAGAGAAGATCTCCCTTTTTCTTCGGTGCATAGATACTCACATCATTCCCTTCCTCTTCATTCAAGACTTTTGCATTTCCGATATTGCTTCGATCGAGATAGCACAGGAGATAAATAGCTGCGCTTAAAGGAACGATTCTCCAATCCTGTTTGAACATTAAATCTCGTTCTTCTCGACTCCCGCTTCTTGTGTAGGGAGGCGTAGAAGGTCTTTGATTGATTCCCGTGGGAAATTCTGTGGATTGGGTATCGATGTCTTCGTTGACACCCCTTCTTTCGGAGTAGGGATTTTTCTCATCGGGATCTTTTGAGTCCATTTCGATTCATTCATCTATGTACAGCGAAAAGAAAAAGAGAAGAAACGGTGAGGCAAGGAGAGAAAGTGTGGCAGAGAACGTGCGTGCAACGTGCTGGTGTTCAACAGCTTCCTTTGCGGTGCAGCAATTGTGGATCATGCTGCACGAGTCGGGTTTGGGCAGAAAGTTGTTGCACGAAGACGGAGTCGGCAATTGGTTGACAAGATCGTCGGTACACTGAGTGGATCCATACAGATGCGGTGCCTCGGGGCAAAAATTCCGAAGAGAAAGCAGTCGAGGATTACTAAGTAATTTCCATTTGGACTATACATTATATTTGAACTGTACAGATATATACTCTCGCTTTCCACTTTGTACAATTGTTGTTTCGTCGTTACGTTGACTGCCATGTGCTGTTCACGGCCGACATTGAGATGCAGGATGGTGGCACTGTGTACTTGCGATTGGAACCAGATTCCCAAGTTACGCCTCCGCTTGAACCAACTTTGATGAATTTGTACTCGAAGGATGTGTCAGACGGGATAAGGACAGTCGCGTTCCAAATGGGATTCGAGGTCGTATACATTGCTGAAGACATCCTGATGGCGTTGGAGGTATTCCACTTCCCAAGCTCGTCGATAGAGCCGATGATCTTGAGGATCTCGCCCCAGGATGTGGTTGTGTTTTGGTAAAATGGCACGGATACATTGCCAGAGACTGCGCAGGATGCCGCAGGTGTATCCACGACCCGGCCGGGTAAAATCGTAGAGCTGGTTGATGTAGTCGCAGCCCTAGATTGGGACTGATCAATGTTGTTGGTAGACGCACAAAGATCTGTACCCGACAGCTCGGAAGTTTTGTAGAAAACCCTAGGTGCACCGTAGTTGATGGTTACAGCAAGATTTCCGCTCGAATCGGTTTGGATCACATTGCAGCTAAGCAGATCTGTGTATTTCGTGTAGCCTGCAAACCCGGTTTTGGCTGGCGTCAGGATTGCAGATCCGCTACCAGAGCTGCCAGAGTCCGTGAATACAGAAAGAAGTCCTTGCTTTAGAGTGGCCATGATCTTTGTGTCGGAGTATACCACTTTCGACTTCGTTGCAGCATACGTAGGATTCTTGCGGATAGCAAGGTTTCTGGCTCCATTCACTTTGGCAATGAAGGTGTACAGCGAAGACTTGGTGTTGTAGCCGGAAGTCCAAAGCGGCTCGCGGTTGTATGGGTCGACCGCTCCGTTGAAACCTTGCTCTTGTCCGTAGTAGACGATAGGAATTCCATCGTTCAAGATTGAGAACGCGATTGCATTCTGCGTCAAGCCAGTGTCCTTTGTGATTGTTGGAAACCTAGGATTATCGTGGTTTTCCAGAAAGTTGCCGAGCAACGTGACATCGGTGCAAGTCGAGTTGAGCCACTGAATGTTATTCGCAAGTTCGGTCATGGTTGCTGAAGTAGATGCGAACGCCCGGTTAAGCCAGAAATAGTTAGGATAGTTGAGAGCACCTGGCATGTAGCTCTGCCACGTGCAAAAGGAAGTCGGGTTCCCGTCTAGCACTTCACCGACAGCATAAACTCCACTTGCCTTGACGAAGCCAGGCCAGAAAGCCTGATTGACTTGCATGGCGCTGTCGAGACGTAGACCGTCTATGCTGTAGTTGGCTACCAGCTGTGTGATCCATTGGTTAAACCCGTTCTGGACAGCGGTATCTTCAGTTCTCAAATCTGGGAGAGAGACCGTGGTGTCTCCCATCCAGCAAACCTGCGTGCTGGTGGTGTTGCCATATTCGAGCGGGCAATATGGATGGTAGTATTTCTGGTCATTGAATGGGCTGAACGTGTTGTACTTCACATTTGCTGGAGCTCCATTGTATGCCATGTGATTGGTCACCACATCAACCATGAGGTACATGCCTCTAGCATGCAGAGCAGCTGAAAGCGCTTTTAGTTCTGCCGCTGTACCGAATGCGGAGTTGAGCGAATATATGTCTTGTGCCCAGTAGCCATGGTAAGGATTTCCATAAGGTGTGTTGGCAATGTTCTTCACGATTGGACTTATCCATACGGCTGTAAAGCCCATGCCTTGGATATAGTCCAGCTTATTCGTGATCCCTTGCCATGTTCCTCCACAGTAGTTGCCCCAATCGCAGGCTTGCGTGGATGAGCCATTTGTGAGAGCGAATCGGTCTGTGATAACTTGGTATATAGATTGCGACCGCCACTGTGCAGACGTCAGTGCGGTAGTGAGTCCAGCAAGAACTGGTATTAATACAAAAGGCCGCATCTTGATGGCACTATCTGTGAATCAATGACACGATCAAAAATGATCTTCGAATGCCTAAGTATCACGGTAATCTTTCTTTTTGCCAAAACTCTGCCGATAACCACACAGAGATTTCCGCATCGGCATGAAACGGGCTCTTCCAGATCGCGTCAAGTTCCTTTGTTGGTATGCACCACGGACCACATGTGGAAGTCTAGACGCTCCGAGGGCTGCTCGATTCGAGTTGAACTTGGACAATGACCTAAGACAAAGGCATCGCTCGAGAACAGCCTGCCGAAACTGGTGTCAACTCTCCAGACGCCAAAGGTAATTTGTCACTGTGGAGCCTGATCTTGATGCTCATTGCTGCGAGACAATACCACGTTGTTTGCGGGACGACATGAATTTGTTTCTGCAGACTCGTCGTCAGTCTTGCTCAGTCTGGCAATATCTGTACTGGCTCCGTGTCCCTGGAATCACCATCTCAAGCACGTGGCACTGTAAATGGCAAGTCAGTCAATTTGTGTAGGTGGCTGATCCGCGAACGTGGCTTCGGAGCTTCTGAATAAAGCCTTTGTAGTCAACATCACGATGCGGATTTGTTCGGATTGACCGGAGCCATTCAATGCTGGGGTGAAACTTGCGGTCGAGGGTCATGCAAGCTGAAGAGGCCGGTCTTTTGGAAGTCCATGAGCATCTCTGCCGTTCAGAACGGCGTGCATTCCAGCACGAGGATCCGGAATGGAGGGCCGCGCTGCTCTGACACGCAGTATCGCAGCCCAGCACAATTCGGTAGGCAAGTTGTCTAAAGTTGTCTTCGTCGCCGTCCTCTTGCTTGGTGTGAGGGCCATGCATATCGCTGGTATTGCAGCACTTCCACAGTGCACGGGGATGATCTGAGCCCATCCTCGGCCACCCAGAGGAAAGGGTCAGAGATGCTGCAGCGTCCGATCGGGGCAATCCATCTCTGCATGTCGATGTTAGAAGTTGGGTTGAAAGGAGAAGAGCGAAGCCATCGCAGTGTCTATCGACTCTAGTTCTGCCAGGAGGTTTGCCAAGCCTTTTCGCCATCACCCGCAACATATTCTAGTGGATGGCCGGAGACCACTGTCGCTTCTGCTGCTCAAGACTGGTCGGCCGAACAAGGCCCAGCGAAAGGAGATGTTCAACCAGAGATATGACTGGGAGGAAGATAGGCGCGAGCAACGACTTGAACGTAGACTTGAATGCGGAGACTGGATCTCTATCGCTTTGAGCGACCTGAAGGAAAATCGCCACTACCTTGATCAATATGGCGTTGAAGGTTTCTTCAAAGACAGCATCGCGAAGCTGCAGGAGCTGGACACCGCTCGTTGATATGCAACATGTTGCGCTGGAAGCAATGCTCCTTTTCGTATTGATAACCCAGCGCACGAAGACTGATATTTCCTAGGGAATTGAAGGTTAGCTTCTGCGAGATAAATAGCACTGTTGCATACGGTGTCAACGATACACTACTTGTTGGACTGTATGGTCTGTGGTGCCCATCACGTGCACGATGCCTCAGGCTGCAACTGCGCACCTCATCTCCCGGAGTTACACCAAGCCTTCATCTTATGGCTCCCAGACAACACAGTCTATGAAGGCCGCTTCCTCGCTGTAGGTAATGGCGGCATGCCAGGAGTAATCAGCTATGCCAGCATGCTCAACCAACTCAACAGATCCATGCATAGCAGCTTTACAGGAGCTAAATATATGGGTAGAAGTTGGGTTCTATCTAGGAAACAAGGACCAAGCTGAGCCGGAGCGCGAAGGCTAAGAAAATGGATCTGGTTTGGTGGGCGTGAAAGTAGAAGCATGACTTCACGTGCCTTATGCATCCAGACCGCCTGTGAACAAAGAAACTCATCGTCCATGCCTTCAATTGTATAGTAACTCGAGCTCCAAGAAATCGATTAGGTGAAGCGTGGAAATGTCGCACCTCTCACGCGAGTGTAAATGATGAGTTGTATGCTCGCCTGTGCCCTGAGGGGTCAACCAAATAGCATTGAAGTGGCCTCGAACCAGAGCGTGCCAAAGCCCCAGGTGAAGACGCGCGTTTCGTATGAACAGCCTGAAGCGCAGCCACAACCCCGAAGATCTTCTTCGGGTCCTCTTCATATTTCTCGATGACAAATCGGAGGAGGTCAAGGAGGGTATTTTTGGATGTCTGGTCTTTACCGGAGTTCTCGTAAGCTCGATGGATGCCTACTGAGATTGCCTCAGAGAGTGTCTTTTGCTTTGGGCCGAAGTATAGTTGGTAGTGCTTCCAGTCGATTTGTGGCATCTGCTGCATCTCAGAAAACAACACCAAAGTTTCGTGGCGAATAGAGCCTACTTTGAGCAGCGAATGCTTTGAGGGCGCAGGGAGCTGGTTATGGTCGGGGAGGGTAATCTCGTCTTCTCTGTCGTCGAGGATACTTTAGTAGAAGTGGATTATAGGCCTGGCGTGGTGGGTGGCCGTTATAAGTGGAAAAAGGGGAAGTCAGGGGCGAAAGATTGCACATGCTCCCCAGTTGAGTGAGGGAGACTGTTCACTCCGGCTGGTGAATGCCGCCATATTTATCTGCCTGTGACAAGCTGTCTTGCAATATCGTTCATTGTCTGCTCATAAGGGCGAGCTGAGGCAAACAGCGCTCTGTGAAGGTGAAGTCGAGGGTGCTTGTGAACAAAGAGCCCTCGAGAGCAGCCTGCCCAGCTTGCGGTCAGAGACAGTGGCTGCGTCTCGGCGGTATGCTTGTGATATGGGCCAGGTAAATGTCTTTAGGCAGCTGCACTCGTGAACGAGAGCCAGTCTCACCTTTCACTCTGTTCGACGTAGTGGAGTTTTGTTTGCATTCGGCCGCGAAATGGTCAGTGCTTCCCGTCCAGCAACGCGTGCTAAAGCTCGAATTTCGCGAGCTAGCGGACTTTCCAGAACATCACCATCACCATGGCTAGCGAGGTATGTCGGCTTCCCGTCTACTGGCATTGCCATTCATGCGACCGTGCGATAGTTGCTTGCAGTCGGCCACAAGCTAATGTCTTCGCAGCAGAACAACAACGGCCAAGTGCCCGCTCCATACACAGAAGGCGGCATCGTAAGTAGCACTGCTCGAGTCGATATCCGATATCCGTAGCACTACCATTTGACATCGGGAAAGATGACTGACCATTCCCAGACCGACCTCCTGAACATCATCGAAGAGACAGAGCCTCTCCCAGACGAGGACAGCACCATGGCAGCTCAGGGCCAAGACGACCTCGACGCCGCCCGACTTCAAGACGAGGACAGCACCATGGCCGCTCAGGGCGAAGACGACCTCGACGCGACACCACTCCCAGCCGATCCATTGCGCGACGGTATCCATGTGGAGCTGCGCAAGCTCCTCGAGGCGAGTGAGGCCAATGTGCGCAATGGCCTGGCCATGCGCTTCGCGCTCTATCTCCTCATCCAGCTGTTCCGCGAGACGATGAAGGACGACGAGGAGAAGGTCCTCGACAAGGACAAGGTAAGTGTGCTTCATAGCCGACCCTCACAATGTCTAATCCATTTTTGCTGACGGATTCCATCTTCTTCTCACCAGTGGCTGTCCCAAATCACCACCACCATCCATGACACGGCCGCGGACAATACCATCCGCTATAAGACCGGCGCCGTCATCACAGACGCGCTCGCGCAGGCGCCGTGGGGCATGGATGCCTCTGCATCTAATACGACCCGCACCATCAACTCCATCTTCGATGGCATGCGCAGCTTCGCGCGCACACTCAACACCGCGCTCCACCAAGAGGAGCAGAAAGGCACCATTCTCGCGGACTATGATGTCGACGAGAATAAGTCCGACGAAGAAGAGGACGGCGAGTTCGAGGGCGATGCCACTGGCACCACGGCTGCCGGCAAGAAGCCAGCGCGCCCACAGAAAGGCGGAGATGCCAACTCGCGCGACAATCGAGGCAACCATCGCCACGGTATCGCACGCCGGTGAATAATATCGATCCCCTACACTGTCGAGAAGCTTTGCTAATCATGATATAGTTGGACCACGGAAGAGTACCTGTGCCTGCTCAAGTGCTGGCTCAGGAACGCCAACAAACCACACCAAAAAAAAGTCGACGACCATAACTCGACTTTCCCAAGAGCTCCCGGCGATACGCACATGCGCACTCGAGAAGGTTGCCGGCAACAGATGGATAAGATGGTGGGACTGACGCGGGCCGGGCTGGATAAGCGGATCGAGGCGAAAATCGAGGAACTGGAGAAGGAGATTGCCGCCAAGGCGTTGATGCAGCTATCCCAGGGATAGAAGATTCGCTTCTCGTATGCAATCAGCGATGGGATAGTGCCCTCGAGGCTTGAAAGGATAGCTGCCGCATAGAGTCGACTAAGTCCTCCTAGGCCATAAGATCCCCTGAACGAATACCAATGTCATTAAAGCTGCTCTCCTCTCCTTCTTTTCACATAATTCTTCTCCAACCAGATCTAATCGGTGGCATTTTGTGCGGATTTGGGCCGAAATCAGTCCTGCGAGAAGAAGAGCGACGGAGATGTGATTCGAAAGTTTTCTCTCTTTGGCCGATGCGACTGCGAGACACATCTCTGCTGCGTGTAAAAGGCCAATGATCTTTGCGCGAATCCAGGTCGGTGCCTATACGGTGGAAAGCAGAGCAAAGGCAAGGCAAGAAGGCTGTGGCTTCACCATTAGACTGCCGCGCTGCACCGTGACTCCGTTTCGCGATCGATTATGAGGTCCTCGGGGCAACTCCATACTTATTCCATGCGGCAAGCGTTGACAAATGGCAAGGTGAGATCTGACGCTGCATGCCATGATTGTTGGCTGGTTGAATTCAGTTTTTGCTATGGCTCCTCCCTGATGTGTTTTCGCCACTGCTCCCTCGGATTATCAGTGTTGCTAGAGGAGGGAAGAAATTCGAGTGGCAGCCGAGCGAGATGAGAGGGAGCCCACCTGCCAGCTGCGATAGTTCTGAGAAACTGCAGCGCAGTGTGGGCAGTTCTACTAAGCACCTTAGGCTCAGTCTGGAGTCCGCAGGAATGCTCTGTGACAAGAAGCCGAGGCCCGTGAGTACTGTATCAGAGCAGGTCACCTGCTTCCTTGCGCCGCGCATTGTGTTCCCGTTTCGAAGAGTCTGGCTGTGCTTTCCATATCGAATTCGGCTGAGTCTACGTGCTCGAGGCACTATAGAGGCGATTGAGTGAAATCCCGGACATTCGCTCTTTCGGGGGTCTGCGACTCCCTCCGATCGGGTTTGTTACGCTTCCATACTCTGGTCCAGGAGTGCAATGAATGCGTTATTCGGAGAAGGCCAGACTGGTGATGATCGGGGCACATCCTTGGTACAGCTGCACCATAAACGGCTTCTCCTTTCCTAAGCGCTTAGCCATGGTTTTGACCTCGGATCCAGCTGAAGCTACACCATTAAAACATCGAAAAGCTAGCAACATGACAGGACAGAGCTACAGCAAGGTGGCTTAGGGGACATCCAACCTGATTGCTTGCAACAAGGTGATACTCTGGTGTTGAGCAAGTCGAAAGTGCTATCAGCGACGGATCCAGGTTCTGGCAGGCGATAGATGCTTCGAAGGGATAAAGGAGGTGATGGTCGTGGTCCTTCGCCCGAATGCCTCAGGTCTCTCTGCGTCTCGGTAATGAGATGTAGACTATACGATCCAAATAGCAGCCAGGTTCATATGTCAGCTGAGATATACTGGAGACTCCTGCGAGAGAGAGAGCGGGAGTGTCTAGAAGATTGGCGGCTCTCTTTACGTCTACGGAGGCCTATACGTACTAGAGGCTCAATGCAGCACTTCTTACCGCAGCGATATAGCACAATCCCTGCCCCTATAAATTGTTTTTAACACATCTTTTTGTCTAGGGGACTTATAGCTAAACAATATATAACAAAGATACTCTAATTTAGGTCTATCCTTAAAAAATATTAATATTTTTAGTCGATCCCTTCTAAATTAGTAAGCTATATAGCTTAAAACTCTAGAGTAGACGTTTTAGAATTTTAGTGTCTTTTAAGCCTTAGTATACTATTTTTAGCAATCTAAGATCTAGGTCTTATAGTTTTGTTTAATAAAAATCTAGTTCTAGATTTTTATTCTAGTATAGCTACTATTAGTAATATAATCTAGAAAAGAACATTATTAGAACCTAAATCCTTACTAGGTTCTCTTAAGTATATCTTTTTATATAGAAGAGTTATACCTTTATAATATAAAACAAAGATACTCTATTTTTGTTAGGACTAAAGAGGTTATACGTAATTAGTATATAACCGGGCTCGAGTAAAGCTAGGGTCTCGATGCCTTAGGTAGGGCTTGGCGCTTAGCAGTAGGCTAACTTGCCTGCCTTCCTCCCTCTCCTCCTAGCTCCTTATCGAATACTACCTATACCTACTACTACCCTATCTACCTACTAATATACCCTTCTTATATAGTATTCGATTACCCCTTTAAGGGCAGTAGCTAGATAGTCCTTATTTCAAGCTTTTAGCGGTATAGCTACGAAAACTATCGATTTAACTATATTACGCCCGAAGAACGGGACCTATATGTACTATTCTATTAAAACAACCGTACTAATTATTAAGCAAAGCCTTCTATACGGCCTATTATACTAAGTCAATCGTACTAAGCCGATATCTACTAATTCCGCTATATCCGTATCTTAGGGGCTAATAATACATTATTAGCGCCGCCCCTTATAATAGCCGGCTTATTACGAAACAACAATCGCGGCGCCGCTAGCAGCGCTAGCAACGACAATGCTAGTAGTATAGTGCCTGCCGAAGTGCCTACTAAAGTGCCTACTAAAGCACCTGCTAAAGTGCCTCCTACTAAAGAGCCTGCTACTAGGCCTGCCGAAGAACCTATAATTCTAGGTAACGACCTAGAGTTGCCTATTAACGATATTCTTAACAACATTATTAATCGACGATATAGCTAACTAGCCTTTAGCCCCTAGCTAGTAGCGAGGCTTTAAGAAGCTACCTAAAACAGGCTCGCTACTCTACGTTAAGAATAATAGCTAAAGGATAACCTCCTCGAAATTCGCCGCCTTTAGGAGGCCCTAACAACTAACACTAAGCCGATAGTAGGGCCTTCCTTACTATTAGTCCTAGTCTAGAAGAAGGATGCTAAACTTAAGGACTATACCGTGTTTAACGGCTCTAGTCGAAAGCAATACAACGACTATATCCGTAACTGTAAGCTTAACTAACGAAACGCACTAAGGGCTCTACTAAATAACTATTTACTAGTCGTCTATGCTATACAGTACATTAATAGCGACCTAAAACGTACCTAGGATAACTATTTTAATTCCCTCGATAATCAGACCGCTGTTTAGTAGCAAACCTACAAAACCATTATGCTAGACACCCTTAGAAACCCTATACTAAGGCAATAATATGCTTAGGACCTGTATCTTCGAGCTAAACAAAAGACTAATCAATCGGCTCGTTTATTCGAGGCCTATTTAAAGACCCTCGAGGATAACCTCCCGGCTAAGACTAATTCTATATAGATCTCGGAAATACGCCTAAAACTTAGATAGGAACTTATCCTCGAATTGGACCGTCGCCGTATATTCGAACAAGCTAACCTAATACGTATTTAATTTATAGTCGAAGTAGAAACAGCCGAGCGAGCTATCTAGCTCTAATAACGACTAGAATCGAGGATCCGGCTAGCTAGTACGAACCGCGGCAATCGTAGTAGCCGCGGAGGAAACCAAGGTTCCTACTATAATAACAATGCTAACAATAGGAATAGTAACAATAACCGTAGAAAAGGCCGTAGCCGCCGGCTATATAGAGGAGGCCGCGATAGTAGACCCCGCAGTGGTTCGGGTTAGTTTGGTTTGGTTTGCTAAGCCGAAACTCTGGTTTGGTTTGGGTTGGTTTGCTAAGCAACCATATAAGTAGCTAGTTCGAACCATATAATTTATCGGTTTTTAAGAAGTGTACGAATGTATACGTAGCTTTAAGCAAGCCCTTTGTAAGACTTAGTAGTGTAGCCGGCAGCGTAGCCGGCATTTTTAGTCCTTAGTACTTATAGAATTTTCGAATCCTACTTAGGCTACGTGGTTGTATAAAGGTACTTATATGACCTTAAATCTATAGACAATTAGCTAAGGGTACTAACCAATTAAAAGTATACACACATACATAAGGCATTATAGTTTAGTTCGGAAACTGTACTCCTTAGGTATGAATTTCATCCTTTCGTTCACGGTTCAATTCCCTAACTGCTTAGTAGAATGTCTTCATCCAGATCTAGGTAGAACTTATCGATTTCCCTAGAAGTCCTCCTCCTTAAGAAGTTTATGCACTTTCCTACCGAACTATTCGACAACATTAAGTACTAGGATAGCTCCTCCCTCGGTATCGGCACAGTATATAAAAGAGCTATAAGGCAGCTCTATAGAACGTTCTACTAGTCACTCGCTATACTAAGGCCGAATGCTAGTTCGTTCCTTAGAACTCTTAGTCATTTAGGAGATATAAAGGGTAGGGCAGGTAGTGACTTCGTATTATATAAGGAGGTAGAGGCTGCTATAGAAGAGGCCTTCAACCTGTAGAAGATAGTGAAAGATATAGAGGCAGCTGTAGGTCTAGGTACCTAGTTGAATTTCTAGTAGGTAGAGTATAAGGATATTTAGAGGGAGTATTAGGTAGAGTTGCGAAGGCAGGTGTATAATATGCTCTAGAAAACAGGGATAGTGCCTATAACTATAACTATTAGGCTCTTCAACCTTCCTTATTTTTCCCTATTTTCTTTTTATAAAAATCTAAACTAATACAAATCAACCGGAATGTCTATCTTCTTTTAGTTCTTTGAAAAACCTAGCAGCGTAGCTAGCAGCGTAGCCGGCAGCGTAGCCGGCAGCGTAGCCGGCCTTTTTACTCCTTAGTATTAACGGGATTTTGGGAGACTTCTATTCCGTACGGCCAATAAAGCATACTGTACTATATACATATACTTAGAGAGTATTTAGAGCGCGGTATACAGCGCCGTATAATAGCGGCTCATTTCGCATATAGAAAAGCTTGTAGACGACACTACGAACATCCTTCCTACTAGTATATCCATCCTATCTACTACTATCTCGAATGTAGACATTCTAGCCTTTTAGGATCTAATCGAGTACTTTAAAATCCTTATCTATAATCGTTATACGCTTCGCGTAGATAGCTATAAGGTTGACCGCTAAAATAGTATTAGCATAGTCCGAAAAGAGGTAGAAGAGAAACATACATTCGAAGATACGAACTAGGT